GGTGAATCAATAGGTGTTTGTTTGGTGAATTTGGTATCGAATTGCGAAACGTCATCTTCGCTGGCCTTCAAAAAAATAATATTATTAATTACATTACAAACCAAAACTGATACAAACGAAAAGTACAATAGTTGAATTTGTTGTAGCGCAATTTGTAAACTTCTCACAAATCTTTTATTTGAATGTTTGGAATTTGAATAAGTTCACCGTAATTAAACTTATTCAAAATCACCCCACCCACCTTTCCCTTAATATGACTCTTATATATAAGATTTTATGTCATTTATATATACAAACTAATTCATGAACATTCACCAACTAAAGGCCAACTCCATTATGTTTTCAAAGTACAATAGCTTACTAGACTCGGCTTAAAGGGCGGTTCCAGTTTTCTTGTTAGCACATCATTCCAGTTGATGTGCTTAAAAAACTGGTGCTGTTTGATGCCATCCGCGTCCCCGGGAGAAGACCCCAACCTAGCCAGCACCTGTCTCTTGAGCAATTTCCTTATCAAATCCCTGGCATCGGCAGTTAAATATTGGGGCAGTATCAGCTTGCCTTTAAGGATTTTTTCTATCGTTCTTTTGCGGTTTTCCGCAGTAAAAGGCGGCTAAAAAGCATACCACATATTGGAAAACAATATTATATATAATCTGGAATCCCTAATGTGCTTTCAAATTCAACTCGAAAATTTTAAGGCTTAATATTTACAATTCAATACTAATTCATTGTTTTTAAATTAGAAATTAATAATGAATGAGAAAGGTACTCACAGCCCCTGTTAACATATCATACATAAGAGCACCTAATGACCACCAGTCGACTTCTTTACCATGGCCACTTCTCGTTAATATTTCAGGGGCCCTACAAGTAATATTTATTAAATAATAATTCCTAATAGTTGTTATCAGACAGAAGTGTTTTAAAAATAAATATTTAACGTACATGTATTCTATAGTACCGCAAAATGTGTGTGTAACAATTCCTTCTTGAATGTGTTCCTTACAGAGACCAAAATCGGTCAATTTAACGTGTCCGAAAGCATCTAGTAAAATATTTTCAGGCTTTAAATCTCTGTAAATAATTCCCTGTAAATGCAAGTGCTCTAGTGCTAGAATAATTTCGGATAAGTAAAAGCTAAAAGAAAAAAATTATATAAAATATCACACACAAACTGTTCTCCTAAATTACCATGCAGTATCTTCTAAAAATATTCCTTCACGTTCCAAATGCATGAAAAGCTCGCCTCCACTTAAATATTCTAAAATTAGATACAGTTTGCCTCCAGTTTGGAAGGCATATTTTAAGTCCACTATGAAAGGGTGCTAAAATGACAAAATAAAATATTAAAAAAATTAACATCATATTAAAACATTTTATTCTTCCCTTAACTTCTTCTAAAATATTGCGTTCAGCCTTGGTGTGTGCTGTGTCTTTTTGATTTCTAACTATGGAAGCTTTACGAAGAACTTTCATTGCAAATATTGTCCCGGCATCTTGACCAGTAACTTTACGCACCTGAAATACTTTGCCATAGCCCCCTTTCCCCAGTACTTTCCTAAGTTCAAAGTCATGGGGCCCTGTCTTTTCTTGTCCAGGGTTAACATTTTGTTCAGTCAGTTGGACTGTTTCAATGTTATCGTCACTAAAACAAATATTTTTGCTCTTTCAAATGTATACTCTATTAAAAAATGACCCGGAAACTGTAAAAAATTAAATAATACTAGTCAAACATACTAAATAAAACAATTTATAAGGTACATAAAAAAGCTCTTCAAAAGATAAACATATACATATACATGTATGTATACAATACGAATTTATGAGGATAAAAAGCGGTGATTAAACAAACAGAGCGTTGCAAAATCCAGAAACCTAGTAACATGTAATACTTTATAGTTTAGAGCATATTAGTTCATTTTAACTTTTACTTTCACTCAGACCATGTAAAAAGAAAGTCCTACATTTCAATATGATGACATAACCATGACCTACTTACACACTTTACTTCTGTCTTACAAAACTGAAAATAAGGCAAAAACTATTTATTGTTTTACAAATATGCTGCCCATGGGGTGTAAAAAAATAATTTAAAAATTTGATATTGTACATTTTTACTAGCAGTTATTCTTAAATATCTTTTATTTTTGGTGTAAAAAACATAAAAAAAACACAAATTCAAATAGAATAACCCAGACAAATCAAGATCATTAAAATTATTTGACCTAAATTAACCAATTTTACCTATAAGAGATAACTTAACGACTCACATAAGGTTTATCCAAGATAATTATAAAAAGGCTCTTATAATTGATTAATTTGGTATTCACTATCTAGATATGAACAAGATGTAAATGAATACTTACTCTATAATATCATTCACGTTGGGGTTCTGATCATATCCACCCTAAAAATATATAGATATGTAAAACATATGCAAACCAAATAAAAAATATGTGGCAAGAATTTCAAAACTGAATTAGCACCATGCTTTCAAATATATGTTGTGTAGTATTTTTTTGGCTGTAATACCTCAGTTATTTCAATAATATCGTCATCAGAATCGTCAACTTCTACAGTTTCAATGTCATGTAGCTCAATATCAAATACGCCAGCCATTTTTCAATAACACACTTAATAACTGTAATTTTCACATTCTAGCACAAACGAACAAAGCACATTTCTAGAAATCACTTTGAAATTGATATTACTTTCTAGTTATAGAATTTTCTCACCATGCATTACACTTCGAAGTAAGGTTAAGTACCTCTTCTAAACTGACAACGACAACTAGCTCTGGTTTGTTATTTTGGTATCCGTTTCTAAAACGTTATTTCAAAAATACGTTCTACGACGTTCTTTTGTATTCAATACGTTACTAGTGATAAAATACTAAAAAAAGAAAATTATTTTTGTTTAATCATGCAATATTAGTTGTATTAAAAAAAATCGGTTTTATTTGACCTAAACGGAGAAATGTTTATTATTTAGCAGCTTAGAAAATATGGGCTTTCACTCGATTATAAATCACGTGATTTCTAAAGTTATTTTTCTGTTACGATCACTTAATGTAAAAATAAAATCATTTTTTCCAACAACATAGACAACCTTCCTTACAGTACTGTTACACTGGTAAAGCCCGATGGCCTTGCAATATCAATTAATCAAAAATAAAACGCATTTATTCTAAAAGATTTTGCCTTATCAATTAGATGAAAATTGAAAATGCTTATCTATAAAACTATTAACAACATAAACATTTTCAATACGTAGTTATCTTTACAACTTTGAGACTTCATTATCGTCATAAATTACATGGCGAATCGAAATGAATTTTACACTTACTGTTTTTTGTTTTTAGTTGCAAAGAATATCAACAGAAGAAAATGCTTTTTTTTGTATTCTCCAAAAGAGCCATTGAATTATGGCTAAAAGTTTCATGTTTTTTTTAAATATTTTTTCAAAATCAACCATTAATACATTAATACGCATGCGTATTGAATAATAATTTTCCAATAGAAGAAGAATGCTGTTGAGGATATTCAAACGCATAGGTTAGGTCAACACGCTGTGTTTGTATGACTGTATGTTCTAGATTTTTTATTTAACTTAATTAATTAACGTTAGATTTGTGTATTAATTATTTAATATGGCTGATAATAAAAGTAAAAAGGTATGTATCTTTCTTTTACTGGTTACAATGACACAAAGTTTTCACAAAATCTCTACGTTTTGACATGAGCCTTTTCGACCGATTCCCATTAAATTTATTTCCTTACCATGTCTCTTCCTAATTTAAGTATATATTCAGGGAATAGTCGCCCCGACAGTATCTTCCTCAATTCTGTATACGGAAAAGAAGTACGATGTCACC